GGACTTAATCCTTTTCGTCTGCCATGTCTCACCCATTTCAGCACATTTTATGTTTATCATCTATATATCACTCAATTCTAATTTCTTTTATCTATCTCAAAGACAGTCTCTCTAGTTGAAACACATAAATTCTTGCTTTAAATATTCCCATAATCTATACTCACTCTACCTCTTATTTTTACTCCACCCCACATCTGTTCCCATTCAGACAGTCTGAGTAATGTCTTTATGTCCAAGCTTGACCACATAAAAAGTACTTAGTATACTTTAGAGACTACTATATGATTTTTGTCCATACATCCCTATTCAGCTTTCATACTCTTCTCTTGATCTTTCTTGACTACTTTGAACATGTTACATTGCTCCTCACTATATCTTCTGCCTGGAAAATTCTTACTCTCATGACTCTCTCCTTTAGGAGACAACTATAGATTCTCTTTAGCACCCCTGAATTCTTACATCACTCAGAAAGCATTTCTGATTGTTTCCCAGGCCACTAGATATGTCCTTCTGCCATCTTCAGTAATCTCTCTTTCACTGCTGTGAAGTAGGAACCGACTCATAACTGAACCCTCCACAAGGTTTCTGAAGCTTCAAGTCACACAGGAGGAGATTAGACATCTTTCTTTTTTAAATTATCTTACATGCACTCCATTCATATACATTTTGTTTTATAAGTTCTACAGCAATTGATCTATTCATACCAGTTTGATCAGTATGCTGGCAAATTATTTAAGAAGTTGGACTCTATGAAGAGTAATATGGCATCAGTAACCTGCTTTATGCATATGACACAACCTTGCTTGCTAAAAGTGAGGATTACTCGAAACACTTGTTGCATAAAGGTCAAAGAATACAGCCTTCAATATGGATTGTATCTCAATGTCGAGAAAACAAAAATTCTTACCACTATTACCTATAGGCAACATCATGAAAAATGGAGAAAAGATGAAAGTTGTCAATAACTTCATCTCACTAGGATCCAAAGTCAACACTCGTGGTACTGGAAGTCAGAAAATCAGGAGATGCATTACACTGGGGAAGTCTGAAGTCAGGGATCTCTCCAAATTATTGGGGAGCAATGTTCAGTGTGAGGATGAAGTTGCATGTGTTTCAGGACATGACCTATACAATCACTTGTTATGCATCTGAGATCTGGACAATGAGTAAGGATGACAGCAGAAGAATCAATGGCTTTCAGTTGTGGTATTGAAGAAGAGTACTGAATATCTTGGAGAAACTGTAGCCAGAGTGTTCCTTGAGGGCAAAGTTGGAGAAGCTTCATCTCACATATTTTGGACAAGTTATTAGTAGAAGTTATCCCTTGGAGAAGGACATCATGTTTGGAAAGGTGGAGTGTCAGAGAAAAAGAAGGAGACTCTCAATGAGATGGATTGATGCAATGTCTTCAGCATTTCACTAAAATATGTGGATTAAGATAAGGATGGCACAGGGTAAGGCAAAGTTCAGATCTATTGTTCAAGGGGTTGCTGAGTGGTATGTGAATTGATGGCCCTTAATAACAACAATAATGTTAATTAGGGAGTGCTCATGCCTTAGTGGTAAGGAGTTATGCTGCCAAGTCAAAGGCATGTGGTTGGAATCTATCAGCTACTCCACAAGAGAAAGACAGGCAAACTCCTCCTGTATCATTTACTGTCTATAAACAGGTGCTAGAGGCTCAGGTAGAGAATGGTTAAAACAGGATGCTGCTTAACAACAACAACAGTAATAATATTTTATAAGGAAAAATATTTTAATGTTACATGACTGTAACTATTATAAATACAACTAAAATAAATATATTCTTTTTAGTGTTTCTGTCTCATTAGGGTGGAAGTCTTTCGATTTAATTTGCAGTATCTTGACCATATACTTTTATGGTTGTTGTTTGTTGTTGCTTTTAAGTGCCGTCGAGTTGCAGGCGACTCATAGCGACCCTATGAAGGAGAGTTCTCAACGCTTGGGTGTCTTTCGTCCTCTCTCCGGGTTCATAGGGTTTCCGGAGGCAAGCTATTATGGAAGTGGATGCCACTCCTCCTTCCAAGCTTGTTTTAATTAGGGAGCTCCACCCCACTCTTTATGGTTAATAAGCAATAAATAATGGTAAATACTGAACCACTAATTCTACTTAATTGTTTTCCTTCAAGTGTTATAATCTCTTAGGACAGGGTAGAAACTGTTCAAATCATAAAACCCACAAAAATAGAGAGAAAATACTGTGTTTCTGTGAAAAATATAAGCTTTCTCTGTTTGTGTAATAACCTATCAACCTCCACAATGTATTTTCTTAAGCATGTTTATGCTAATTTTGACATCAATATGTTAACAAGATTGGCATAGTGCTTAGGGAAATTTCTGGCAGAAGGAGGGCATAGTTGCAAACAAACACAGGTGAGTTCACAATATTTGTGTAAATTTATATTATATCTGGATTTCAGGGATCATCAAGTCTAAAAGCATTCTAATATTTGGAAAACATTTACAGGCTTTAAAGCAGTCTGTAGACATGGGCTGTAAGAGATGGTAGCCTATTCTGGAAAAGAATAAAACGTATTGCCTTTTAAGGAAATCAATTTTGGGATAAGAAACACCAGAGTAGAGTAAACATAAACATTCTTCAATGCAGATTCTGAAGAGTAGGAAAATCAATCTTGGGAGAGCAGAAGCAGCAAACACAGTGGAGTGAGGCTTTCTTTGCTGTTTTACTCACGCCTGAACAGAAGTGAAGCAGTCAAGTAGAAAACAAAATTGCTAATTAAACTGGGCAAAAGTTGAGTTTTACCTGCAAGAAGATGATCAGAATTGCAAAAGAACCCATGTGAGAAGTAATTCAGAAACCAAGACTCCCCAGAGACAAGGATCCCTGTGTTAATAATCTCTTTGTGGTTCTGAAATCAAGGAGGAAGAAAAGCAATTAAGTCTTCTTGTGGAGATCATGTGATGACTTCCTGATCCCAGCCAGTGGCAGTATTTCCATGGAAACTTCTCGTCTCATCCTCATCCATACAGTGTTCCTTTCACCTGAAAAGGCTGCTTTGAGTCTCAAGACACTGTGTAGAGACAGTGGTCTAACAAGACAAACCCCAGCACAAAGGGCAGAGAGCAACACAGACACTCCAGAAACCCTGGGATAATGATGACCTTTCCTGTGTTGCTCAGCTGATGAAACACAGCTTCCAACTCTTATTAGTTTCCCTATCTCAAGTGTTGTCTCAATTCTATTTCTTTACAGGGTTTGTCCACCCTTTAAAGGTTTACTGAAGGTACACTCCCCTTGATCACTCGCTTGATAAAACCTGCATACCTTTATGTAAAACCGTCCTTTTCTCTATTCTCAGTTCACAAAGATATCCCTTCCCTATAGTATTCTGATATACTTATCATTTGTACTATTTCTTGAAAATTACCATGAATAATTAAAATTATTGCTGCTGTTACATGTTATATCAAATCACCTGCAACTTATAGCGACCCTAAATACAATAGCTCTGAAGCCTGCCCTGTCCTGAGCCAATCTCATTGACTCCGTCCGACTCACCTATCCCATTGCTCTAGTTATTGTTTCAATCCATCTCATCTGGCGTTTTCCTTTCCTGTGCTGTCCCTCCACTTTTCTAAGCAGGATGTCCTTCTCCATGGACTGGTCCTTCCTGGCTACATGCCCAAAGTATGTGAGACAGAGCTTCAAAATCCTAGCCTCCAAGGAGACACTTGGTTTCACCCTCTCCAAAGCAGACCTATTTGTTTTCCTTTCAGTCCCTGGTATGTTCAAGACTCTTCTCCAGCACTACAACTCAAAGGCCTCAATTCTTCTGTTATCTTTAGTCATTACCCAGCTCTTTACTAATGTATTTCAATTTCTCTAAGTCACATACATACAAGAAAAAAACTCCTTGAAGGATGAAGTAAATAAATCAACACTTAAACCCTTCTTGACAAAGTTGATAACTCTTTGGAAAATCTAAACCTGATTCACCAGCTCCTGCAAACAGTAAAGCAATCAACTACTGAGAGTTTGGCAGTTCACATAAACTTACTGGCATCTTGGAAGGTTTGACTAATGCTTCCAAAAGTTCACAACCTTAAACACTCTCTGAAACAGTTCAGTCCTTTTAACACATGACTCACACTTGACTCAATGGCAGTTGGAATGTTTTGGGGGTTTTTTGTTTTTGTTTTTTCCCCCCTCAAAACCTTATTACAAATGCAAAGTTCAGTCAAATTAATGATTTTACAGGACTTGTGAGTGGCTACAGGATAAAAAATAAAAAAGTGTTCCTTAGAATTTTAACTAACAAAATCCTCACACTAAAGTAGGCTCTCCCCAATTCTCTGAGGGATCTACTCTTAGGAATAATAAAAACATAAACACTTAGAAAACAAGCAAGTATCTGAGCAATACAATAATAGAATAATTCATGAAGAATATTTTCTATAAAATAATTAGGCTAAAGTGTAGTCAGAGATAAGAAGTAATCTTCTTGGTTTTTAAAGAGGTTTTTTTTTTTTTAATACAAAAGTGTATTTTACAAATATGTGGCCCGAAAAGGTCTCTGAAAAACCACCATCTTATGCTTATATCTATAATATTTCTTGTCCTTTTAAAATCAGTGCAGCTCTGTTCCTAATATTGCTTCTCTTTTTAGAATTCAAATCATAATCAACTTGATATTTAACTGAATTTCCCTAACTCAGTCATTATTATTACAGATATTATTTTATGATATTCATCTAATCACCTAAGTTAAACTATTACTGGCAAATAGTGTTTCTCATTTTTAAAAGGTCTGTCTCACTAGTGGGATAAATGCCAAATTCAAAGACAAATTAGTCATGAGCTTTTCAGAAGATGAAAGTTTAAGATAAAGACTGTGAGTGTTTGATGCTAGAGGTGGGAGGGCTATTACATAGGGCTTAGCCAAAACATGTGATAGTCCAGTGTAGGGGTAGCTGTAGAGGAAAGTTTAAAACTCCAACTTAACCAGTTCAGACAGACCTTGTGAGGACTCTTGGAAGAATGTGCCTGGTTCTTTTGTACTGCCTGCTATGGAGTTTCCACATCTCTACTGGCCATTTCCCTCGTGCCTGTGTGTCTTCCAAGAACCTTATGGAGAAGGAATGCTGCCCCCTCTGGAGTGGGGATGGAAGCCCCTGTGGCCAGCTTTCAGGGAGGGGTTCCTGTCAGGATGTCGTTCTGTCCAGTGCACCTCTTGGGCCCCAGTTTCCCTTCACAGGAGTGGATGACCGGGAGTCTTGGCCCTCTGTCTTTTACAACAGGACCTGCCAGTGTTCTAGCAACTTCATGGGATTTGACTGCGGTAGCTGTAGATTTGGCTTTGGGGGACCAAACTGTGCAGAGAGGAGACTCTTGGTAAGAAAAAACATCTTTGATTTGAGTGTTCCAGAGAAAGATCGATTCCTTGCCTACCTCAATTTAGCTAAGAATACTATCAGTCCAGACTATGTCATTCCTACAGGAACCTCTGGTCAAATGAACAATGGATCAACACCTATGTTTAGTGATATCAGCATTTATGACCTCTTTGTGTGGATGCATTATTACGTGTCCAGAGACACACTGCTTGGAGGGTCTGAAGTCTGGAGTAACATTGATTTTGCTCATGAAGCACCAGGCTTCTTGCCTTGGCACAGACTCTTCTTGCTGCTATGGGAAAAAGAAATCCAGAGGCTGACAGGAGATGATAACTTCACCATTCCATACTGGGACTGGAGGGATGCAAAGGACTGTGCCATTTGCACAGATGAATACATGGGAGCACGCCATCCAGCAAACCCTAATCTGCTCAGTCCAGGATCCTTCTTCTCTTCCTGGCAGGTAAGACCCAGCTGGTGGAGGAAGCTCATAGATGATAGACATACAGTGTTAGGGCACTTCTTCAGAAATGTCTTTGTAAACTTCCTTTCTTCATGCCTTTCACTTTCCAGCATAGTGAATTTCAATTAATAAATTATTTAATTAATAAATGCTTTAACTAATGAATGGAAAGATATTTAAACAATTGAATAAACCAGTAGTACAGACTCGCTCTTCTGAAATTTCTCAGCAATAAAATCAATATATTATATGAACTTAGCACTATAGATTCCTGGGCCTATTAAAAAACACTAATCAGAATATATAGAGAATAATCCTGAGCAAGTACAATTTAATGAGGTTCAATAGCAATAAGGCAAGTTTCAGGAGGATTATCTATTTTCTAATATATATAGAGAGAAATAATAAAGTAGCTAATAATCAGTGAATATTTATTCTTTGGTGTTGGGCTTGTTCCAACTTAGAGTGGGTCTATACGACAGAGTAGAATTGTCCCAAAAGGTTTCTAAGGGCATAATCTTTAAAAAATAGTCTGCCACATCTTTTTCCTGTGGGTCATATAACAGCTGGTGTATTCAAACTACCAACCATTTGATTAGCAACCACAGACTTAATTATTGTACAGCCAGGTTTCCTTTATCTAGCATTTAGTACAAGTGAATTTATATTGTAAGTGTACTTTTTGAAAAAAAATTAACAAATTTAATATTTTTACCTTCCTAAACTTTAAAAAAAATTAATAACAAGGTATATAAAATGAGTTAGTAACTTGCAGAAGCTCATCAAGATAGTAAATCAAAGAGATAAGATGATATTAAATAGCCTGGCTATATGACCACACTATCCCATTTCCAAAAATATGGTTGTCAAAGGATTTGGGACATATCTTATCTTACTTTATTAATTTAACTACAGAAAAAAACCAAGCTTTGATCCTAAAGACTTACAAACTTTAGAAGTCCAAGAAAAGAAATTGCTATACTGAAATGTTAGGCTTAATTCTCCAATTCTAAATCTATCTTTAAATTGGAGATAATAGACAGCTAAAAACTGCTTTTAAATTATTTACCATTTTAAACAATATAGGTGGAAGGAATGTGTTTCTTTTTCCAGATATTTCCAAAGTATATCATTTGATTACTGGTAGTTTATTGAACCAAGATGAATATTAGAATGGGATCAAGAGAATATTGCACTATTTGAAATATCTCAAAATATTTCAGTTTTCAAATTTAGAGACCGCTCCCAACCCTAGCATCCCTTCTAATTCATGTAGCTTTCAAATGGCATTCTTCAAAAAGAGGACATTTTCTAATATTTGGTGTCTAGTGTCAGCCATTTAAGCAAAATTAATATATTTTTTCCAGGAAAGAGTTAAATATGTGGGGGTGAACAGGCAAAGGGAATTTTATTTCATAAACCTCAGACATTCGACAATCACTTCATAGATTACAAAGTGCAAAACTCTTATGTAGCTCCCACTTCCTCTCTTCATGCTTAAAATACAGCCAAGCTTTGATGTGGGATTTTGAGTTGCTTTTAATCATTTGCTTACCTATATAGCTTCACATGACCCGGAAAGGGTAGAAGATTATTTGAATTTCCTAAACTGCTAGAACGTCTATACAATAGTTTAAAGGACTAATACTAATTTATCTTTAATTACATGTGATATTACTGCCTTGGGATAACCAGATTATTTTGTTCTTTTCCCCAATCACTTATCTATTAATCTGATATGGAAGGAATCTTAGCTACTAGTTTGATAAACTAAGATATAGAATGAAGTCTAGTGTTTAAGTACTGGAATTGAAATATTAAACATTTGTTTTAATATTGAAAAGAAAATTAATATATATATAGAATAGAAGAAGACCAGTGATATTTCCAAACCCCAAATAAATATCAGTTAAAAGAAAGATAAATGGGCAAAACAATTGTATATTTGTGGTATCAAAGGATGATGGATATCAGAGTTGGCAGTCAATTTTGGCTGGTTGTTTTGATTCCTTCATAAATTCTTTCTGGTTACAAAGCCCTGCAGAAATTAAGATTGACTATGTGTGTTGATTTAATTCTCAGTATTAACTTCACCTAGGACTCTTTGAAATATGGATGAGCAAATAAAGCAAAAGTCAACTTGGCCTTTGGATCCACTAATCCAACGTCAGATTCCAGTGCCCTGCTATGAAGTCCATACATCTGGATTTTTTTTTTCATACATCTGGATTTTTAAAAATCTTGTCGTGTGATTTTTAACCTCAAATTAGCACTGAGTCATTGTTTCCTTTCACATGGAAATTCTATTTGTATCACTTTTGCTTTACAAACCTGGGCTCTATGTAGACATAGAGCTCATCTGAATGCTTTCACCTAATCTGAACATTCAATTCAATAATTACACTATTTTGCGTGAGATAAGATCAACATTTTCTATGTTGATTTCATTAATACTTTCCAAGTTCACTACACCATATGATGTGTCCTTTGCTACAAAACCATCATTTTCCCCCCCTTGATTCCTCCCTCATGTGTCAAAAACTGGAACCTGTTGAGATTAATTATTCTTATTAACTCTGAACAACATTTAATTAATTCTCTTAATGCTGTTAAGTTGGAACCCACTCAGCCTTCCAGGGAGTTTTTGGAGTTTGTGAATGCAAAGTGGGAGATTGTCCATCTTTCCCTGCAGAAGAGCTGAGGGATTTGAACTGCCTGCCTCTGGGTTGGCTGCCCAAATCCTTGTTCACTGTATCATCATATTTTTATCTAGTATAAAGATAAAATACCTAGTACCTAGTGTAATAATTCCATTTTTAAAAGAATGAAGGCCAAAAAAAGATAATATCTTCAATGTTGTAATTTGTAGCAAAACTGGGTTCTAAAAACCCAGTAGCTCTGGCCCCAATGCTACAGTGACCCATATTACTTCTAATTTTGAAGGGGATATTTAACTACAAAAGTAAGAGAATAAATCATTAATTATTTTGTGGACATTCAAATTGACATGCAGTTATTGATTCCTTCAAAACCTAGGTGTTTAGAAGCATAGGAACATCTACTATATATCAATACTATGATGAAATATTATATGAAACTTTTACTGAGTTATATCATTTACCCATGTAGAATGAATATGCTTCTCTGTGCCTTCATCACAGTGTATACATATTTATAGCAGATAATCTGTATCTGTTTAATGTACTTAGAGGTTTTCAGTCCTATCTTTGTCTACCAGACTATTGCCTGCTCCAAGGGATGATCATTTCTAACTTAATTTTGTATCCAAAGAGGCTAGGGTAATTATGAATATGTGAAATGGGTTTGACATATGTATATTGGATTTTAAAAATAAAATTGAAAATCAGAGACGTGTTAGCTCCAATGTAAACAGAGGTGAAATGTAAAGCTTTGTGTTACTGGATCTCTGAGCCCTTAGATCATACTTCTTTTAATTTCTATTTTATTTTAATTTTTTTTATTTTATACTGGTTTACTTAACTAAGTTCATATACAGTTTTTTCACACCAGATCGTTCCCCCTCCTCCTACCCATCACATTGTGAGACCCTATGACTAAGAGCCCTTGCCCTGCACACTCATCCTCACCCCTCTCTCTTCCTTTCCCCGCCCTGCCTTAGATCCTCATACTCATTCTACAATAATAGTCTTATAAAGTATTTGTCTTTCATGAGACTGAGTTACTTCACTTAGTATTATGCTCTTCCAAGTTAGGTAGGAATTTACAGAATCATTGCTCCTGCATGCTGCAAAGTATTCCGTTGTGTGAATGTTCCATACTTCTTAATGATAACGGGTGTCCCATGCCAAGGGACAACAATGCACATAATTGTGCACTTACTTAAAATCTGAGACTCAAATTTTTGTGTAATTGTTTTTGGATTTGCATTAAGGTGTATGCATACAAGGGGGGGGGAAGAAGTCACACAATTGAGCCAATTAAGCAAATTTTGCAACATCTGAGATCCATTATCTTCCTTCTCTAAATGATTATTATTTGAATAGTGGTTTCAAATCTTCAACACATAGGTTATCAATAGCACACAGTCATTTGTGCCACCTGGAAACCTAGACGTTTATAATAGTTGTCAACATCAAAGGATCACTGGTGGGGCAGTGATTAAAGAATTTGACTGCTAACCAAAAGGCTAGGAGTTCAGTCTCACCAGCTGATATGTGGGATAAATTTGAAGTAGTCTGCTTTCAAAAAGATTTATAGCCTTGGAAATTTTAGGCAATTCTGCTCTGTCCTATGAGCAATTTTTGTTTCAACCATTATCAAACAAAGTGTATCAGACAGAGAGCTCTCGTGATGGTGTCCACAAGGAGTTGCACTGCTAACTCAAAAACAGTGCCTCTCTGGGAGTTCAAATCCACCAGCGACTCTATGGAGCAAGACTTCAAATTGCTCCTGTGAAATTTATAGCTTCTGGGGAGGGGTAAGGGTGGGGAATAAAACCAACAAAAAACACAAATACTGTAGAATAAGCTATGAGAAGTTTCCAACTGGACAACAATAAGTAAGCAAGCAAGCGACTGTGGGAGAGATAGATAGACAGACACAATCAATCTACCTGGTAAAGTTTTCTATGAAATAATACTGAAATCAGACACTTAATGCTAGTTTTTAAATTAATTTTATATTAATAATTTACATAATGGGTACATGTCTGTCTGTTTAATGCCAAGAGCTTCTGATGTAGTCTTATGTATGTAATAAATTAAAATGGTCTTGTATTTTTAAAGATAGTGGATCACTTAACATTTAAGAGCAAATAGCTGCACTGAATACAATTAGATCCAATGTTATGCAATGAAGACATAAACTAGCTACAAGAAGCAAAAGCATATCAGGAGTACCTATAATGATAAGCTGAAATAAAGAGGGGAAAATTTATAGTTGATAGACATTAGAAATATGTGGCCAGGAAATTCACTCATCAGGTGAAAATCACATCACATGGAAGCAAACAGCGGGAA